ATAGTATACAGTCATGGTTTTTATTTGAATTAATTTCTCTTGCTTTATTATAACATTTACTGAAGGTATATATTATATATTATATATGATATTCCTTGTCTGTTTAATGACACCATAGGGATGAGTAGATTGTAGATACTCACAAAACACTACTTGGTTGATTCATTGCTCCAAGCCAGGCAGAACAATCTGATAGCATCCTTTTGTCCATGCACGCAGTCTAGACAGTAAGTACTGACTAGGTCAGCTTGTTAGTAGTTCTCTACTTATAGCATTAACAATTATGTGTGCATATGTATGCAATATCACTCTAAAATATTTAGACACTTTTAATAAGAAAATAGACTATCCCTCAGCTAGTACCAGTTTGGGTAAATTTATACTCAAATGTATTGAAATGCCTCTCACCAGTACCAGTTGATATTGGTATTAATGTTTGAAGGGATTATTCATTCACTGAGATGTTTTGAGTATAATTATAAATGGATGATTCGCATAACTTCTATCTGATCTTCCTGAATCACATAAAATCAAAAAAAAGAATATCGAAATACTCAATGCTTCAGGCTGGCAAGATAGCTCGGCAGACTAAGCACTTGCTTACGTAAGCGCAGGGGCCGGGGTTCCATCCCTGCACTGCGTGCCATGCTGACCCCGCCCCCAGGTGCGCTGAGCTGGCAGTGGAGTCCAGGTGTGGTGGGGCACGCCCATAATCCCAGCACTAGGGAGGCTGAAAGCAGGAGGATCACTGTGAGTCTGAGCTGCATAGTAAGACCCTACACCTAAATAAATAAATAAACACACAAATAAATACTCTCTACTTGGAATCAGTATGATTTTTTTTCATTCTTAGGAATTATTTTTATAGAGTTATCTGAACTCAGTATAGCCAGGCTATGAAAGCTATAGTTTAGAGTATATAGTTTAACCAATTCATTACCATCAAGCACTTGAGCTAGACCATTTTTAGTTGACATCTTTGGACATGTTATTGTCAAGAGATAAATAGCTATAAATTTTTTCTCTCCTTTTTTAAAATTATAGGTAAAAAGCTTCCTACAACTGGAGAAGTGCACATCTGGGTGAAGGAGTGCTTTGATCTTCCGCTGCTAAGGGGAAGCCATCTAAATTCTTTTGTTAAATGGTAACAGCATTCATCCATTGGCCTTCTTGGGATTTGCTATTGCTTCACCTTTGCTGGTTGGTTTCAGCCCTCTGTGTCTGTGATGCTAAAACTCATGAACTGCGGTCCCTGCTGCGCTTTGCCTGAGCTTACTTAAGCAGGTGCTTTAGACTGCTGAGCTATCTCCGCGGCCCCTTCATAAAGTTTTAAAATCATAACACTAAGAGGGGACACACTGAGGCAGGAGTTCAAAGCCAACCTGGCTGCAGAGTGAATTCAAGGCCAGTCTGAACTACAGAGCAAGAACCTGTCTCAAAAAACAATGCCCCCCACTGCCTATTTATTTATTTATTTATTTATGGAAACAGGGATTGAACTCAGACCCTTACGCTTGCCAGGCAAGATCTTATTCTACTGAGCCATCTCCCCGGCCCCATCTCACTGCCTATTTTTAAAAACCAAAAAATCCAAACATAAAGAGGTTGTAGATTCTGATGAAACCGAGTCCTTGAAGTCAGATATATGAGGTCTGCTATGGATATAACTGTTGGTGAAGTTTATCACATTTCTAATAGCAAATGTCACACTCTTTGGCTCTTTTGTGGAATAGGAAAAATTCTACTCTTTTGTCTCACATATGTGACCCATATGCAAAGATTCTTTCATCAGAATGCAGATACTTGGAAAATTATTTTCTACATAAATCCCTATTAAAAGTTAGCTCTTTAAAACTTAGGATACTTTGGGCTTTTAAGTGACAACCTTTTTCTCTGTTATACACTTAAAGCATATGGAATCTAGTAAATAGTAACTGGATAGATCAGTATGATCTCCTTCCTTGTTCCCCCTAATTCTATCTATATGGATTCTACTAGAAGACAAATAGTAATTATTTAAATATATGGGACATAGATTTTAATATATATGATGCTATTTATGATTCATTTATTCATTTATTACTTAGGATTCATTTATTATCTATGTAGTTGGGGCTGGGGAATGGCCCAGCGGAATAAGTGCTTTCCTGGCAAGTACAAGGGCCTGAGTTCAATCCCCAGCTCCACCAAAAAAAAGAAAGAAAGAAAGAAGAAGAAGAAGAAGAAGTATTATCTATGTATTTTTAATCAATGTCAGTCAGTAAAATTTTTGAACTCAGGTCAGTCTCCCCTGTTGCAACCAATCTTAGACAACATTTTGCCTTTAGGAGAGATGTGGTGGATTAAAGTCCACTCATTAATTATCTTAGGGCCAGCAAGATAGCTCAGCAGTCTAAAGTGCCTGCTTAGGCAAGCTTAGAAGAGCACAGGGACCGAGGTTCTACCCCCAGCATCACATGCTGCACCAGCCCCGCCCCCAGGGTGGGCTGAGCCGGTCCATAAATAAATAAAATAATTTTTTAAAATAAAACACAAATGATAGCAAAAGTATATTATTAATTCTCAAGTTCAAATTTAGCAGATTTGAGAGGTTTCTTTTTCAACTCTGTAATTGTAATTCCTTTGGCTATCATAAATAATCGGAAATAGCCTGTACTTCTAAATTTTCAAGAATTTTCCTCAAGCAGCTCTACCATACTAGGCCTTACTAAATGCAAGTACCAGGCCTGTCCATATGTGTTTTTCGAGGGTTACTTAATTCTAATGTCAGTGTTTGACATCAACATCACCATGCCCACTTTGTAGATGAGGAAGCGAGTGTCTGAGAGAAGAAGCAACTTCTCCTCAAATGCGCAGCCAATGCCTGGCAGAGTCAGGCTTCCGACTCAGTCTGCCCAGCTCTGCTTCCAGGATCTTTCCAGCATGATGCACCTTCCCTTGCCTTCAAGCAAACCACCAGCGCTATCACTGCAGTCTGTGCCCCTCCGCTTCCAATCTTTGGTAGCTGTGCTGAAGTGTACTGGAAGCACAAAAGTTCGCTACTGTACTGCCACGGACTCACAATAATGCCTCTTTTTGTATCTAGTACCATTCTTCCAGATACCAGCAGGAAAAGTCGCCAGAAGACAAGAGCGGTAGGGAAAACAAACAACCCTATTTTCAACCACACCATGGTGTATGACGGGTTCAGGCCTGAAGATCTCATGGAAGCTTGTGTAGAGCTCACTGTCTGGGACCACTACAAACTAACCAATCAGTTTTTAGGAGGCCTTCGAATTGGCTTTGGAACAGGTAATTCTCCTGGAGACATTAGAAATTTGTTTCTTTAATTTTTTCTAATGAAATTAGATACTCTATATCCATTAAGTATGATGAAATGAATGAGTAAAGGAATGCCAGGGTGTGGGCCAGGGCCTCTGGATATAATAGGAGGATTGACAGGGTACGGTGTCTGTCATGTAAAGCTTAAATTTTGTTGGGATAAGGGGTAAGGGACAGAAATGCCTTTAATACTACGCTCCCTGGAAAACATATTTGTGGTCCTTCAGGGCTAAAAAGGTGTGCTTTGCATAATAATAACTAATATTTATGGGGAACTAGTCACTGTATTAAATGTTCCATTTGTCTTATTTTATTTAATCCTCATAACAGTTCTGTGAGGTATTTACTGCTATTCTCTCCAAAAATTTAAGTGGCAGAGCTCTTAATGGACATATTCAAGGTTCTGAATTGAGGCTGCCTGGCACTGAAGCCTTAACCACACTTCCTAGACCTCAAGGGTCACCCCAACCCCGTGCAGAAACCATTCAACTCTGTCATGTCACTGATACATTTTCATCTAGCTTTTAACATTTATGTGAAGAGAAATCATTGTTCTTGGAACTATGGGAATGATTTCAACAACGGAGCCACTCCGATGGTCAAATAACCTACTTCCTTATATCGCGTCTCGGGTCTGTCCTCCTTGGGTGGTTCTTCCTGGCCAGTCATAGCCCCTGGCCCATTTTCCCCAGTGAGTTAGTCATTCAAAATGCAAAATTTCCTTTTTTCAGGTAGAAGCTATGGGACTGAAGTAGACTGGATGGATTCTACTTCAGAGGAAGTTGCTCTCTGGGAGAAGATGGTAAATTCCCCTAACACTTGGATTGAAGCCACACTGCCCCTTAGAATGCTTTTGATTGCCAAAATTTCCAAGTAATCTCTGCGTCTACTGGCTGCTCTACTGCAGCTTACTACACAGATGGAACCTGACCTGGAAAATCTGGCCACATGGACGAAAGTCCTCAGTTTCTCTCTGCAGCCGCTAATGAACACTACATAGCACATTAAAGTCAATCGGCATGTGTTTGTGTTTCTTTGATAACAAGGCCCAAGAGACTTAAACGATGGCAAGATATGTGACTTACTCATGATTCCAACATTAAAGATATTTGACCAAGCTAGGAAAACTTAACTGCTGCTGCTTCTTAGAAGAAAAAGCATGGGCTGGGGAGATAGCTCAGTAGAATAAGTGCCTGCCGGACAAGCACAAGATCCTGAGTTCAATCCCCAGTACAGAAAGAAAGAAAGAAAGAAAGAAAGAAAGAAAGAAAGAAAGAACGAAAGAAAGAAAGAAAGAAAACTGCCAAGAAATATTAAAATCTGGGATATTTTCAACCAGAAACTTTCCATTGTGTGTTCTATAACACACACAATCTTATGTTCTAATTAAGGTCTACTCCTTGACTATTGAAAAATGTAGCACTTATAAAGTGTAATACAAAGTTATTCCTGCGATGAGGACGAGGAGAGGAATAGCAATGATGACAAAGAATTACACAATAAGATAAATATGTACTCCGTGTTCTCCAGCAGAACACAGCATTGCATGTTGCGGCAGAAGGACTGACTTTGCTGGCCCCACTTTTGCCTTTAGAAGCTGCCCGCCTGCCCGCCGTCCCGGGTCTCCAGTGTACTTTGGTGCCACCCACTGGCAGCATGGAATTCGGTTCTTGGTTTATTTTGGCTTAATGCGATCCTAAAATAGATCTCAACCCTGTAATACTTTATAATAGAGTATGTTAAAAAATTGCTTAAATGATCGTTCTTCTCTCCTGATTTACTGCATGAACGCAGCATAAGGGTAGTCACAGACAGGCTTTGGGCAAGGGTTCAATTAGAATATAAACTGTTTAATTTTCCTGTACTCCCTATGTATGTACAATTTTCCTAAACTATTTTGTAAAACCCTTAAATAAATTATCATACAATTCAAATTTTATTGAAAAATTATCCTGATTTTATTTTTTGAATACATTTTAATTAACGTATAATAATTTTGCAAAACACTGGGTTTCGATGTGGCATTTTCATATAGGCATGCAGCATATTTTGATCATATCTATGTTCCTTACCTTTTCTCCTTTCCCTTGTTTCATAGCTCATATGCAATAATACTATTTATTTTAAATGAAATATTTTATATTATGAATCCTAAAATCTGAATTCCTTAACAAGGCTAATGAACTTCTTCTACTGGACTAATGTTTCTTCTCAGTCTCTAACTCGTGGCATCATTGTACTTAATTGGGCATCTTTGGCCATGGAAAGGAGAATTTGGGGAGTACTGGGGGTATTTCTCAGTGGTAGAAGGCTTGCCTAGCATGTGAGAGGCCCTGGGTTTCATCCTTGGTAGGATTTTTATTTTGAAATGAATAGTGGAAAAACCTGAAGATAGATTAACATTTAGTTTTTTTTTATTTTATTGAGAAATAAATATGAATGAGAGTTTCAAAGCTGAATAATAGGACAGTTTCGATAATCAATACATTGTACATTGTTATTTTCTTGGTGGTTATCTGTAGTACAAGAAGCAGACAGGATATCCTGTCCAAACACTATTAGTACACCTCTTTCTTCTCAATGAATTAAGCAAAAGTAGCTGTATATCTATCCTATTTTGCATATATAAATACAAAATGATCTTTTCTTTGTATCCCCTTTTTTTGGTTTAGTCCTGTAAGAGGTGAATATTCTATTGGTATCTAAATACTAAGGTGTTTGAATTCAGCTAAACAATCCAACACTGTCTAGCAGTCTATAAAACTAGTGGGTTATCAGTTATTGACTTGAGCCTTTTACAGCTCCTCGTATTAATATGGCTTTACTTTAGGCAGAAGGATTTTTTTTCTCTGAATGCCTTCAGGGCAGGTTTGGCTGGCTTGCGTTGTGGGGATCGAACCACAGCAACCTGAGCCTGACTGCTTTGTTGAAGCAGCCACTTAAAAGAACTGAGCTACGGGACAGGCCCCCTACATGGCTTTACTTTATATACCTCATTTTTATACTTTTCTGCTGGATGGTTAAGACCAAGATAAACCAAGAACTATATAGCAAGAAATGTAACTTTTGTATCTGATAAGGTCAGTCAAGTACCCTCAGGATTTATCCTGTAGCCCTGTACTGCACTTTGTACATCCCTTTGTCAGTGTCAGCCATGAGGATGAGTCACGGCCATTGCTTGACCAATTTGCTCTCTGTGAAAGCCTGAGAGAATGTTTTTCTCTCCATGTGACTCTCCCCAGGCACACTATACATCATCAGTCACATTCCTCTGTGGCTCCATGATCTTCTTGATCAGAAAATTTGGAGCACAACTGAGTTACATGTTGTTACAGTACAGGTTCTCCTATGTCCCGAGTCTTCACTGACCTTGAAAGGCTAGGGCCAAAATGTTGGCTGACCTTGCAGCCCTTCCTTTTCTCCAATTTTGAACTGCTAACTTAGGTTGTTAATCCTCCAAAAGAGAAGCTTATTATTAACCTGCAATATATGCAGTTCGGTTTACCCTATCTGTCTAAGTATCAAACATCTTTGGAGTATCATGGAACAGGTATTTTCCATCAAATATTGGTAGGTTGAAATTTAAGACCTTACAGAATATGAAGGAAAAATAATTTATAAAAATAGAAATAAGCATTTACATAATTTTACTAAGAAATTTAGAAATCTAACCGTATACAGAATTGTAACAGGACAGACCTGTGACATTTTCTTTTCTTATTCTTGTGACCTTTTTTTTCATTTATTACCTTTTAAAAAAATACAACTTTACTTGAGAGAAACTATGGCAATGAATGGTATGTCATGACAAGAAGTACATATTTAGAAAACCAGGATGGCAGGCACTCCAAGCGTGACCCCTCTATTACACATCGCCATCCTCAGTGCAGCCACCTGGCTCACAGGCACCAGCATATACAGTTAGTCAGGGTGAGAATCCCACCAGCCAACCATTAGTCTCAAAAACCTGCTGATGTCCCCCAGGATCACTGACCCACCCATCTCATGTGTACAAATGCATGGTTTTGCCCCTGTCATGTTGCTCTACTTTTCTCCTTGCCCACTCCTCATTGTCCAATCCTCAAGTTCTCGCTTTCCATTTATTTGTGTTGTAACTTTCTATATGTAATTCCTCTTTTAAGTTCTTATACTAGGGAGACAATATGATATTTACACATGTGGGTCTGTTTTATTTCACTTATATCTTCAAGTGGCATCCACTTAAATATGAAGGCTTCAAGTTTATCATTCTTT